CTGGAGGAGAAAAAATCGATTTAAGCTTCAAGGAAGATAAGGAAAATAAGCTAATATATCAACTGTGTCATGGAAAGACCTCCGACTACTAAGAATGCCCAGCCTTCATTATATCATGAGGAAAGAGACCGGTCACGACCCGACGACCTGTTTGGTTCCTTTCTTAAAGTGCTTCCGAGTCTGAGTGCGGCGAAAGCGTTCGTGCAAGCAAAGTAGGGGGGGGGGGCAGTGGGAGAAGACAGAGCGAGTCGCATGGAAAGGCCTCGACCCGCGCTTATTAAGACCGCCATTTGCACGTGCGCTCTCCGATAATGAGCCCCGCGCTCTCGTCGCCGTCGCTTAGGCCTCGCCACAGGGCCTTGGCTGCGATATCTTATCGCTGCAGATATCGCCATCATTTATTTTATGGCAATGCTGCACCAACCGGCTATGCGCAGTGTGCTATGCTGTACGGTTGAAAGATATGTACTTATGTATGTACTTATCTATGTGCAAAGTCTTTGTGTATATGTACTTATCTAAATGTATGTATGTATGTATGTATGTATGTATGTATGTATGTATGTATGTATGTATGTATATGTATATGTATATGTATATGTATATATATATATATATATATATATATATATATATATATATATATATATATATATATATATATAATGTATATATAGACATATATATATGTACGCATATATAGGTGTGTATATAAGAAAAGGATGAAAAGGAAAACAATCCCAGTACGAAATTATATATATATATATATATATATATATATATATATATATATATATATATATATATATATATATATATAATGATGATGATGATGATGATAATAATAGTAATAATAATAAAAATAACAATAGTAATAATGACGATAATGATGATGATGATGATAATAACACACACACACATGGATATGCATAAATATACACACACGTATGCACATATACAAATTGTATGTGTGTGAGCGTGTTGGTATGAGTGAATATGAATGTATGCATGTCAAGCATATATATCTAGAAATTCGTTTATTTAGCCATCAATATCTATATAATCAACCCATAAGTGTGCATTAAAAGCATGCAGCTACAAAAAATGTTTAGCAGACTGAACTTCTTTTAACAGACAGAGCAAAATGAGCTTTCGGGCGGGGCGTCAGAAGGGCCATTATGGGTCATCCCGCGACGGCGTCCCAGCGCATGATCGGGCGGGGAGGCGCTGCTGCAATATGGATTCTAATAAATGCTGCTTTTTGTGCCGGAGGTGATGGAAAAGTGGCCCTGCTCACGGAGGGCGACGCCTTCCTCGCTCGCCGCAGTCGCTACTTCGTAATGACCCGGCCTCGGCGTCCGCCCTTGCTCCCGAGTTCCTTCGGCCCTGACAACTAAATCTTATCTTTCCTTGTGCATCGTAAATACATCCAGCCTCCCTTGGCAAGACGCGCGGGCGGGAGCCGGGAGGAATGTGAGAGCCCTAAATGAGTTTTCTCGACGGGAAATTGGTACTCGTGTTCACGGACACTGCTCGCTCCAGGCGCCTCTTGTGCGACTACAAGAGGAGAGACGAACTCGAAGCGCCGCCCGCGCCTCGTTCATAGAACTGTAATACCTTCCAAGACCATGGTAGTTCGCAGGTCAGAGAAAAACACTATCCGCCAGAACGCACAAGGCTGCGTCCGCATGCACGCAATAATCCGAATTCCAATGAACCGGAGCGTATGATCTATGCCGTGTCAACAGGTGTCCGATTCAAATAAGAGTGACGTCGCCTTATTTATCACGTGACATTGGCCGGAAATTCCTGCAAGGTATTTTTATAGTAAAATGTTGCGTCCGGGAACCGTAGAGTTGCGACGATCGTCTCGTCTCGAGCAGCGCGGCGTGGAGGCTCCGAGGTGATGGCAGCGGTGCCGTGCAGGCCAGCTTCGGTGAAGACTCATGCTGGCGGCGGCCTTGTTGCCTCAGCCTCACTGGCACTATTTGCTGGCGTCATGCTTCGCCTCAGCCGCAGTTTCGCCCCTTCCTCACGAGGCCGCCGACCGCGCCGTCACCAATCTCCCCAAACTTCAGCAAACCCTGCTGCTTCAGCGCTATAATTACAATCCCGTTATTTTCGCAGGAGCCACGATCCAAACTCCACCGGCGGCGCCCCTTGTTTGGAAACTGTACTAAACATTTAACTAATACTCATAAGCTAACCGTAGAAAACCACCTCGACGATGCCGCCTCCACAGACATGGGAGGCGAGGTGCGCGTGATTGTTTACGCGTAACTAGTGTAAGAGTGGGTGCAGGTGCGCCCGCCTTTGTTGGCTTCGCATATTGTCTAGGCGGTACATGCATCTCCTCAACGGCCATGCCACTCACGAATGCTTCGTTAGCTGCAAGCATCAACAGTGACAGAACCCGGGAGTGCGTCGGCCAATTATCAACAGCTCAACAGGTTTGTCACCATAACACCCATCAGCGTCGTGCTCTCGTTCCTCTTCCCGCAAATCTCGCCCGGTGCTTGGCAGTCAAGCAAAAAGCGACGGACCGCTCCCTTACGGCCTTCCGTGAATGGCAGCTTCGGCGACGAGAAAGAAGCAGCGTGATAAATCCTACATCATCGACACTTACGATCAATATCACAATTACTATCTCTAAACATAGACAAAAAAGGTGGAAATAACCCGAGAAAAGGTGGAAGGAATGGAAGGAAGGTGGTCGGCGCGGGTGAGAGGGAGTCGGGATAATTAAGGAATGGCCAAGGAGCAGGGAGCACGGGAAAGGACGCGCGACAGTAGGGCCAAGGAAGGAGACAGCGAGGAAGGAGGCGGTGCGGGGAAAGGAGGCCGCGGCACGACGGATGTTGCGGGGGAGGGCGGGAGGGGGAGGAGTGGCCCGGAGGCGAGGCAGCGAAGGAGGGAGGCAGCGAGGGCTGGGAGAGGAGGAGCGGTGGCGGGGAAGAGCGAGGTGGGTAAGTAACATCCTCCCAGAGGGCGTGGGGGACCTCGTCGCCGGAACCTTCCTTTGTCCTCCCTGGTAATTCACGAAGCACATTCACTACCTGCGTTTACGGGATGGAGCGCCCTCGGTTTAAAGACGATGTCCTCCCGACACCAAACCTTCCATATTTTTTCCCTTCCTATCAGCGCACAGACTATGCACCGCCTAACTGACGCGATCTGTGAGGTTGACAGGGGCGCCGATGTCACCGTAAACATGCCCTACATCAGATATAGAAGTGCCCACTGCGCCATGGGCATCGGGTGGGCAGCACTATGCGTCGCGCCCACGCCAGCGTCGTGTTTCATCGCCCGCGGGCAGGGCAGGGGAGCGGCGTCTGAGCGGCGGAGAAAGAGGCTGCCGCCCCTCGCGCCAGTCGTTAATTTACGCGCAAGAATGGCCGCGTCCGGGAGGGCCGCCCTCCCTCATTACGGCCTCGCTCTCACGCCGAATTAATTATCGCGAGTAGTCATACTCGACCCGGAATTATTTCATATGTCATTGTGTTGGCTAAATGACTCGAATAACGTGATTAACCCGAAACAATTATAAGATCCGAGTCATTATCCGGTCACAGGACCACGGCGATTACACCCGCTCTTCGTCACCGTTTGCAATGGCCATCAGGACCTGCCGACGGGGCCTCCGCTGCATCTCGTGGCCAGCACCTGCGCTGGTTAGGTTACCTACATGGACAAAAGAGCTAGCGCGTACCGCCCATGAACACGCACACTGACGCATGCATGCTGACACACACACAAACACAAACACACACACACACACACACACACACACACACACACACACACACACACACACACACACACACACACACACACACACACACACATGTAAACTTGTGCTTTCGCGAGTACACACAAGAGTGATGTGACAGCAATACTAATAGCTGAGCCAGCCGTGTGTTTTTGCACTTGGTCTTGAATAGAGAGGCCGAGTCGCGCGTTGTCCTTGAAATACGTAAACACCTGCCCTTCCAGCCTCTCCTTTCCTATCCACGTCCTTCCATCTCTCTCTCTCTCTCTCTCTCTCTCTCTCTCTCTCTCTCTCTCTCTCTCTCTCTCTCTCTCTCTCTCTCTCTCACTCTCTCACTCTCTCACTCGCGCTTCTTTTTCCTCTCCGCCACACAGGCGCCTCAAGCAACGGTTTCCGTGCTGCGCCCCTGCCCACGCTTCCCTCAGCATGGTCTGCCGCAGCGTGGGGACTCGCATTCATGCTGACTGTATTTATCATGGCTGAGCCCCATTCCCTCCTCCCTCCCTCCCCGGATAAACACCGAGATGCAAACAAACCAAATTATCTGAATACAAACTTCGATCTGAGTTTCCCCTCTCATGAAGGAGCTCTGCCGTTCTCCGTGGCCGAAAGGGGGCTGCGTCGTCCGAGGGTAGGCTGGGGGAAGGCTGAAACCTCATCTTCGAAATATGAATATTTTCGTACATTTTCTCTGTAATTCTAGTATACTCGTGTTGTCGCGAGCGGCGACCGCTGTGCTCACGACAATCCTTCCTCAGTCCATGCAAAAACGAAAGCGTGTATCCATCACACGAGACACTAAAGTTGGCTCCGGCTTCGGCTTTAGCTTTAACGTGTGTATTTGCGTTCGTTTGCTTTTGCGCCACTTTACTGCTTTACCCCCCCCCACAAAAAAAAAAAAAAAAAAAAAAAAAAAAAACTGCTCTGGAAAATCCTTACATTTTCCGCTTCCTTCCTGCCTCCCCGTCGCGGGCGCGTGCGGTGGCGCAAGTTCCCCAGCGTGTAGTGCAGGTAGTGCCCGTCAGAGTATTGCATTATGTAATTGGTGTGCCGGTACACGTGCAGCAGCGGACCGCTTGTGGGTGTGCTTCCTTGCTCAACAATTGGCGTGCTTGTCTACCATCAGCAGTGTCTCTGTTGAGTTGCTTGCATGCATCAGACTGCACTTGTTTATCTACACGTGTGGCTGCGTACGTGTTTCACTGAGTATGGGTGCTGACATGCCTATGTT